AGTTCGTTACAAACTGCTCGTGAGCGAATAACTTGTCGTGGGGTAGATTTTTCGGAAACCTAAAATTCAAAGCAAACTTCCCAACAGCTTGTTTATAAATTTGGAAATATTTCTTCAGAAATCTTGTCTGGGTCAGTAGGAGTTTACTTCTGTAAAGTTTTGAAGTAAACAGACATGCATGTAGAAATACGAAATCTAAAACAGCTGGTTAAATTTTAACCCAGGGTTAGCGCTAATCCACCTTTGAACCGGCGGACACAGATTCACGAAAGCAAGGCTCCTGACGTAATTATCCAAAATGTGTATTTCGAAGCATGCTCAGTCTAGTATTTAGATCTGCGTTACCTGTTGTTCAAACGGTTTTATATCATTAATATCAAATATAATTGAGGGTCTGTGTGATAAAATATAACTTTTCTTGAGCATTTACTACACGGCCGATGTTGGTAGTCCAATATTACGCAATCTCAGACCACCAACATGGCTGCCGTGTAGTAAATGTCCAAGGAAAGATATATTTTATCACATAGGTCCTCAATTATGTTTGATGTGCAGTATATAAAGCTTTTGAACACCCACCGAAATATTTCGATTTAGGTTTGGAAAACCGCGTAGCTTATTTATAACCAACCTCGTTCCCAGGGTCTTTCTTAGAACGGCGCGAGGCGAAGGAAAGACCCTGGGAACGAGGTTGATTTATAACGGCCTTTCAAAATAATGCTGACGTCAGCAATATAAATGATTCAAGTCTTTAACATGCGAATGAATTACTGTATCGACTTGAAATTTGCCAGGAATACTTGTAGTATGGATATACAAAACATATAAAATGGGCAACTATATATGTTAAACGCTTAAGCTTTTAGAATTTTTATGACGTCACATGCACGCACTCTATAGGCTACTGTTGATGGAATTCAAATAAACTGAAGCTCAAATTTCAAATACTTGCGATGCTTCGGTTGCCATTGTCATAGACTTGTTCCAAATCCTTCCAAGAAAACACGGTCGACATTTCCAAGTATTGAACTGCGCAGTGTCTTACCATGGATAATAAAATAAATGGATAGGAAACTAGCTGACGTGACCTAATGTTTTCAATGGGCTGATGGCGTGATTGGATGTTGAAACCTAGTTGCAAACCAAATTCTCAAAAACAGCATGTTTAGCAATAATACAGCTAAACATTTAAGTCAAAGAGCAAATGAATATAACTACGCCATTCTACGACGAAATCGCTAAGTATTCCCAGTCAATTTTAGCAAATATTTCAAGCACTAAACAGTGAAAAATGCATCCCAAATTTCGTTAAAATTGGGGACGCCAATTTCGTAGCTACAAATGTAAAAAAATACAAAACAAAGACGAAAAACATTTACCTTGAATACTTTGTCGTGGCTTAGGCATGTTTTTAAAACAATTAGACCAGTTGATGCTTCAGTATTACTCTTTTAAAGCGGAAAGTATAGCGAAACAACAAAAATGCCGAGAACTTTGCAATACGCGTGACGTCACAGATTGCAACTAGGTCACAGAATAGGAAGTTATACCAGAAGCGTAACTCGAGCAAGTATTTGTCCGCGTTTTTACAAGCGATTCGTCATCAATCACGCCATCCTGGCTAGTACAACCGGCACTTTGTACCTACCAAATCCTGATAAAAACTTCCGGCTGTACTAGCCAGGATGGCGTGGCCTGACGTGAGCGAGTTAAAATTTTCGTGGATAAGGGAAACGACTAGAGTTACGCTTCTGGTATAACTTCCTATTCTGTGACTAGGTTGTGTTTGCTTACGTCAGCCAGAGTCATATCCATTTATTTTATTATCCATGGTCTTACTGGTGCGTGTACACACCAATACTACCCTGATAAAGTTGCACTTTTATACTCTGTACTGTAATTAGGGAAGCTTCGATTTTCCTTTTTCTAGATAACGGCAAAAGAATTATTCAATCTGGTATGTACATAAAATGAGTATAGACTATAGTTATGCCGCGATGAAACACGGATGAGAGTTGACGAGAGCTAATTGGTAGTCACGCATTATTACACTTATTCAAGCTCCAAATTAACAACATAAAGGTTTGACAAGTGTTTTCCAGCTATGTTTTATCCCAAATAGAATACATGATAGTATTGGGAAAGCATTAAGAACAGCTAACCAAGATCGCGTGATTGGCCAACTCTCATTCTAGTTTCATTCGGGCTTTGGAATGTTTTCCGTAATCTAAGTCTAAGAATGTTACATAAGTAACGGAATATTTTAATCCTTAAATGGGTAATTTTGTCGGAGAAATATAAATATCCGGGCTCATAAGCATGCATAAGATTTCTTATAGTTACGAAACGAAACGAGTCAGATTCCCTTGTATAGCCTACGGTGTAGTATCACAAATATAACAAATATCTGATCCAGCATCAAAGTTCAAATAACACATGTAGTAATTCCCGTGATATATTTTGTGGTGCTAATTAGTTTGGTTTTTGCTTCGCTGCAACTGTATTGGTGGTGCGGTTTTTGTATAAAAGTTGTGAGTATATATTTCCACCTATATATTTGTGTTTGTAACTCAAAAATCGAAATCGCGGCGCAAATTCGGATGCGGTTTCGTACTCATCTGATTTATTCATTTCCATGGACCATATATACTTGGTTCCATATCAAATATCACAATAGTTTCAATAATGATATATAAACCATCTGTATGTAATTACTGCGTCATTCTCAGAGAAACGACGAGATTTTAAAGTATAAAGTTTCAACCTATAGCTTGTAAACTTGTGGGTAAACCATTAGAGTGCTTTACTTCGCTGCAACTGTATTGGTGGTGTGGCTTTTGTATAAACGTTGTGAGTATTTCTACCTATATTTGTGTCTGTATTTTTGCATAGATTGCGCAGAGCAGTATACGTCTGCGCAGAACAGTATATTGGTCATTGCATGTTTCAAAATCCCTCTACACCAACAGACAATTTTCAAATAGTGTTTTATAGAGCTTCTTTCACGAATATCTTAAAGCGAATATGCTCAGTTTCGCGTAAATCTTATGGTTTTATCCAAACGTGATTTAGATCAGCATGCATTGGTTGGACCGACCCAACCTAAAAATCTAAAATGGACAAATTTTGTGACTGCAGGTTGGATCATTTCCTATAAATTTTTTATTGAATTTCCCGAAAGCCTTTCAATCCAAGCAAAAGAATATCTACTTGCATGCCGACATTTCGAGGAATTCTTATGCGTCTCGCCGTGCGAACTCCGAAGTCGTCGGTATCAGAGATATCGCACCAATTTGAATTTACCGTTTCGGTTTCATCTGACCCGTCTTAAAGCACGTTAATAAGCGTTCTGGGGCATTGTTAATTTAATACCTACACTGTAAATTTTAAGGAGTTGAATCAACTCTAAAAGTGTCATTCTGTCACCGTTTTTCGTGACAGAATAACTCTTTTGGAGTTGATTCAACTCCTTAAAATTTACAGTGTATAGCTGCAATAAAAAAATAGAAATAATATTTCTATCAACAAGACAAAATATACGCGAAATTTGTGCTAAGCTTAAATATACTTAAGTCTTAAATATATAAATTTAAAAAACTCATTAATAATTCAGGAGCAAAACACAAAGAAAAATCATAAGCGTGTCGTGGTTTTATATGTGATAAAAAATCATGTTAATTTACATAAACTTTAGCTTTGATTTTCTCGGTTTAGACAAAGTTTATTTTAAAAATTACTTCGCCAATGAACTCGTATAAGATGAGTAGTTTTTTAAGTACTATTTAAAGCACTTGTAGTCGTGTTTTATCACATATAAAACACTCCGCTACGCGTCGTGTTTTATATGTTATAAAACACTCCTACGCGTGCTTTAAATAGTACATAGAAAATAATAAGTTACTCAACGGCCTACTTGCAGCGCGAAATTTCCGTTTCAAATTTTCGGGTGGGGGCTGCGAGCAGGCCAGGGTGAACATAGAGTACGAGGACTCCTCGTTACCAGTGAACTAAGATTTCAGCTGTCTACATATTCGACCCATTTTTAGCAGTTGGTTTGTGTGCACACGAATACTATACAGGTTCGTTTTAAATGTTTCTCTTTGAATTTGAAATAGTACCCTACTAACTTCGTTCGAGTTTCGAAGTCATTTGTTCCCTTTGTCAGACAGTTGATCAAACACAGACTCCAGGGGTCGGTTGTTCAAAGGTGGGTTAGCGCTAACCCTGGGTTAAAATTTAACCTGCTGTTTTAGTTTGTGTATTTCTGCACGTCTGTTTATTTGAGAACTTCAGAGAAGAAAACTCCTACTGATCCAGACAAGATCTTTGAAGAAATATTTCCAAATTTGTATGCAAGCCCATGTTGGGAAGTTTGCTTTGAATTTTAAAAGGTTAACCTAGGGTTAAACTAATCGGCCTTTGAACAACCGACAAGCTTTCTTAACGTCGTTTATCCCCTAACCACCTGACACTCATGAAGTTATTCACTCTTATGCGCTTATCGTCACCGAAGAATCAGTTTTCAGGAAACGTCATTCTACGTTTTACCCTCCGATCCTCGGTTTATTCTTTTTATCCGCGTTTCATCCTCTCTTTCACCGCGTTTTATCCTGACTCCGCGGTCTAACGCTTGAATTTAAATGGTAAAAATTAAATTCCTCTCAGAAACACAGCTCGATATTTCAGTCTATGTATTGAAAACCAAACTGCGTAGCTTTTATTGAAGTGTGTACAGAACTGACTTGTAAAAATGTGTCAAATTCTCAACCGGCTGAAATCTCTATATATCTATATAGACCTGTTAAGTATTTTTCACTCAGTTAGCATCAACTGTATTCTAAGCGGAACTGAGATATGTATCTATGAATGTCAACATTTTTGAAAATGACCATCATTTGCTACACTAGATTTCTAATCTTAACTTCTAAAGTTCAGTAGTTGGTCGCCATCTGCTAGCCTATGAGAAACCCAAAGATCATTTTTTCATTTGACAGGTCAACATGAGAGGAAAGAAGGAATTATTCATGCTGACCACAGGCTTCGTGTTGTTTATGTTTGATCTGGTCACAGACATCGTTGTAGCAACATGGTATGGGCATGTAGGCGAATATTGGTGGTTTGGTTTGACGTTATTTTTTATTATCGTTCCTCTTTTCGTTGTCAGTATTATGGCTGCCGAACAAACAGTTGCTATTAACAATCTACAATATTGTCGTTTAGCGTTTACATGTTCGTCCATATTTGTGCGGTATGTCCAAGAGTTCAAAGATTGGAAACAAACACATTGGGATAATCCCCCTTGTGGAGACAACTATAAAAAATGCAATTGTCCAAATTGCGAGCAGTACCGCGCGGCGATAATGAAGTCTAACAGGTCAGCATACAAGCTCGCGTGGGTACGTTATGTAGAGACACTTACAGAGTCTACTCCACAATGGTGTCTACAGATGTACATCATGTTACGTCAGTGGGATTTTCCATGGTTAACCGTGCTCTCAGCCGTGATTTCCCTGCTTTCTTTAGCATGGAGCATGACTGCTCTTGAGAAAGCAAGAGTACATAAAAATAGACATAATTTCACACTGCCAGCCACGGTTGTATTTTTCACTTCTCAATTGTTTAGTTTGCTATCCAGACTGTTTGCAATTGTAGCATTCGCATACGTCTTTAAGGAACATGTGTTCACAGCACTGGCGGTTCATTGGCTGATAGTACATGTTGTCTCATGGTTGAAAATCGATTTGGATTTTGAAGGCAAGTGTGATGCAGTAAAATTGTTTTTTGGATACAGTATTTTCAGTTGTCGGCTTATTTTACACGTGCCGAATAGGTTAACCAAAGAAGTTTCCATTCCACGCACTTTCTATTTTGTGTTGTACAGTATAATATCCGTAGAGAACGTTTTGCTCGCAATCTTGGTGGTGACAATACCAATACCTGATGTGAAACATATGAGTGTACTGAGACCAATTGTGCTGTCATTGGTTATAATAGGCGTGGTCCTAGGTACCATTTTTCTCATGGTATATAACAAGCACCTCAAACCGACAGAAGAACGGAGAGAAGAGCCAACAGAAGAACCAACAGAAGAACCAGTAGTTTAATTAAGGCGAACTCATGAAAAATGGACAAGAATTAGAAAGCACATGTTATACAGCCCACATTGTGAATATTATCAAGTGAATGAAACACTTGGGACGAAAAACACTTGATAAACTTTATTAACTTTATTAGGGTATAATACACAATTACTGGTAAACTAGTAACTAATTGTGTATCATAAGAAATAATTATTGCTATGAACATAAGAAAGAAATAATAAAATGCTATGAGAATTAACAATGCGGTGCTATTATCGCAAACAAAAACAATATATATTAAAAAGTACTCATTTCTGATCGATTAAGAGTCCTGCAATTTTACTGAAAAAACAGTGTCACGTAGCCTAGCGTGTGACTTGCAAACAAATCACTAAAAATGACAGTTGAAACCTTGTATTAAATTGTTGTGTCATTCCAATGAATGAATAAATCATTTATATCTCGTGTGGTTCATGCATGCACGTGACCACAATTTGTTTCTGCATAATTTATTCATGTATATTATGAATAATTATAGTGTGGTTTCTCGTGAAATTTGGGAAAACAGGGCCGTAGCAACCGGG